TGAGCTCTGTTAATTACTGCTGTTTTTCACAGCTTTTCCTGTTATCAGACGAAGGCAGAAGTTCATCTGACAACAGGAAAACACATCGACGGCAAAGCAAGCTCAAAACAGCAGAAAAAAACAATGGACACACAAGAAGTGAGTCATTCTTAAATGTAAAATGTTCACATTTCGGAATATTTCGTGTCGTAAAGGGACCATATTTCGTTGCCCACACTATTCCTTATAACGCATTCAAACTCTCAACGGTTCCTCACGTAACTTAGCACCGCTTCAAACAGCGCTTGACGCTTTCAAGAAATAATCTTTCGTTTTTCCTCGAGACGTGATCTTGGGACGCCTGTGATTTAACAGGCTATATTTAATTTGGGGTCAGAATCGAAGGCAGTGGTAGGGGGCGTAAGGTGGCGGAAGGGGACGTAAAGTAACATTCACTCCCCCACCCCAGTCCGTATCCTAATTTTTGGCTGCCACTCACCCCCTTAGTGCAAATTTCTTCCAAGCCTTCCGCTGCTATAAAAATCAAAGATGGCGGCCATATTTCGCTGAGAAAACACTGAGCACTCGCTCGCCAAAATTACGCATGCTCTGCAGGCTATTTGAAATACCAAAACAATTAAGTTTTAAAAACAACTGATCCAAGCCAACTGTAGTGAGTTTTTATGACAAAGGAGTTGTATAAGCTACTTACATTGTACTTTGAGATTCCCTGAAGATGTTGTCAAGTTGCCAACACTATTCACAGCTACACATGTGTATTGTCCCGAATCCGATCGGTAAACATTTGTGATTGTTAAACTGTGATTGTAGTTCTGTGATGACGCTGTTAATCGTAGATTTGTCATATTCAGTTTTTCCCCATTCTTCGTCCAAGAAACACTCGGTGAAAGATTTCCATCTACCACGCAACTAAACACAGCTTCTTCTCCTTCAATTATGGTGATATCCTCTGGATTTAGAACGATTTCAGGTGCAACTAGAAATTTAAAAACCACAATTGTGAAGTATTATTGCTTCAAATATAAATGCTTATAAATCTCAAAGTCAAGGTCACTTTTTGTAATTTGTCTGACTGTCAGTTTTTTTTTTCTGATTTCAAAGACTACAGCTTCATTTTCCTTCTCCCTCTTTTTTTATTCAAATTTTTAAGTTTGGATTAAATTTGTTATGGATTAAAATCCATATAAGATTCTACCAGAAAAGGCGAGTGCACGAAAATTTGTTTTTGCATTTGCTCACTTAGCAGGGTACACCCATGGGGAAATGGTGGACACTGAACTGATCAATCAAACTGCGCGCTTTACTTTGGTTATGTTATGAAGACATATTTTGATTACTAGTAAAAATGAGAAAACATAATTCGCAAATTTGCCTGAAATTGGGAAAAACATGTCGCTAATGAAAATGCGCAATCTCAAACTGTAAAGTTTAATCTGCAGCTTTGTCGACATTCAGATGGAACTGCAAAGACTCATGGCACTATCACCTTCACTGTATTTTTTCACAAACAAAATTGTGAAAATACCCAAAGACGAGACTATATGAAATTACCTAAAGCAGAGAAAAATTACGTAACAGAGAAATGAAGCAGCAAGGCAGTAATCTTACTGTAAATATTGTAAATGCACCTATTACTTGCGGTCTTGGACCATTCATTTCCACCTTTAAATTTTGCAACACTTTTGTAGAAATTCGAAACAGGTATGTACTGATTTTACTTTTTTACACAAGTCGAAACCAACAATTTTCTGATTGTTTAGTACCCTCTGGTACATACTTGTGCTAAAAACCTCATTTCACTTATATTTGACATCCATAACAAAATTTAAAAAATCGTCTTCCTAGCCTGTTGACTCCAACCTATTGGGATCCATCGCTACTGCCCTTTTCATATTCATTTATACCAGATGCATCGTTAAAATCGCATCAGTAGAAAAGAATAGAGTGAAGACTTACATAGAATGTCTACTTTAGCAGCATTTGAAGTCTCATCTCCAAGGCTATTGCTGGCAACACATCGATAATTTCCGCTGTCTGTTCTGTTCACATTTGTTATAGAAAGTGTCTCGTTGTCTCCTGAGAAAATTACCCCTTTGTTGTCGCCTATAGAAACACCATCTTTGGTCCATGATAGTATTGGTGATGGATTACCAGTTGTGTTACAGGATAAGGTCATGTGACTTCCTTCTTCTATTGTAACATTCTTGGGATGCGTGATAATTTCAGGTTGATCTGTGCAAAAGAAAAATTGAAAAAAGACAAATTAGTTGAATAAATCAGGAGCACACCGATGCAAATTGTGGATAAAAAATTATTTTTTAGGGTCGATCGAAGAGACTTTTTTTCTGCAAATATACAGCTAGACCTTCCTGCAAGGGTTGAACAGAAGGCAGTTACCTTACATGTCAGAAGAACCCCAAATCTCCCATTACCTACGCGTACTTCTATCTAATTTTCAGTTTGACCACAATGATCTCGACCTAAAGTTCATCCATAACTCATTGGTAACGGCTAAAACTTTGAATTGTCTGAAATTGGGCTTAACTTGACAAGTACGATTTCCTAACGTAAATAGTATACCAATACTGTACTTACATAGCACGTTTACTACAGAGGGGTTAGAGGTGTCATTTCCAACCCTGTTTTTCACAACGCATCGGTATTCTCCACTGTCTACTCTTCTCACATTCGTTATTGTCAATTCTTGAGAATCATTTGATAAAATGATCCTGGAACTCTCATTTTCCACCATGACAGATCCATCCAACGTCCAAAATATATGCAGCAAAGGGCTTCCAGTAGCGTTGCAACGCAGAGCAACAGTATCTCCTTCTTTAGGAGCAACACTTTGTGGATGAGTAACAATTGAAGGCTTCTCTGTATCAGGGAAAACAGAAAACATATTTAGTCTGAAGTTCTCCATTATTTCTTCAGTGGTCTATAGTTTAAATGTCTGCTCGGCCGCTTTATACTTTGACGTAATTGCGCAGACTTTAGAGAAAGATTAGTGCGTACTTAAGGATCTTACAATCTCAAAAAAAGGAGGGGGAAATCGGGGTTTACTGCAAGCCTACCATTAAAAACATGAGAAATGAGAGCAAGAACAACAGAGACACACCTTCAATGATGATAGATGTCGAGTCCGATGCAGTATTAACCTTATTCGTGACACTGCAACTATAATTCCCACTATCCGCCACGATAACTGCATTGATTGACAACTGTATATAGCTTACATTGAAGTACAGGATATCCAGTCGGGAGTTATTGAGCACTTTTGAAGAATTTAATGAAATCACCATTCCATCTTTTATCCACTGTGCCTCAGACACTGGCGGTAGAGCGTTGTACCGACACGCTATCTTGATAATGTCGCCCTTAGCCACAATCAGCTCTTTATCACCATCAATTGTAACTTCTGGATCGACTAAAAAAGTTATTTAATCACAATGACAGCATTAATATTAAAATCATCACTTATTATCCAACTACACTTTGTAGAGTACAAATAACGCCATATACGAGTACAAATATCACGCGGTATTTGTACTCGTCTATGGTAGAGTACCGATTAAACATGTTTTCTCGCATCGTGCAAGCGAAGAATTGGATTGTAGTTAGGAAAAAAAAATGGCGGACAATTTGAATCATATTTCCGACAACGAAGAGTCAGAATGGCTGGCAAATATAGATGAAAGTTTATTAGATGAATCAAACGAAGAAAAACAACTTCATTTAATGAAGAAAATAGAAACAGCAACACGACAACACGCCAATTCCGTTCCGCTTCGCATACCTCTGTCACGCACTCCTCGTAAATAAATATCCGCGAAATTCGCCCGCACTGAAATAACAGTTTTGGGTGTTGGATAATAAATAACTTATTAGAGGTTTTGTTGTGTAGTATCGCTGAGTACTTTTACTCGTTATTTGTATTTTGACTCGCTCTACGGGCTCGTCAAAATACGGCAAAGCTCGTTAAAATACTCAGCGATACTACTCAACAAAACTTCTAATAAGATATACATACTCGTATCCCTCAAGAACCGAAGAAGTTTTTCTCTCTTACCATCAAATGCTACAAATGTCCACCCAAACTAGGCCAGTGAATTTGGTATCATATCAAAATCATGTACTATAGGCTATAGATCAGTCAGCTTTCATAACAGGTTTCCCAGATATAATTTTGAAAAAGGGAAGAAAATTAACATGCGAAACATTATTAGAGTGTAATGGGTTAAAGGANATGACTTTCAACGGGTGAATAGACTTGTTAACCCTCCTTGAGATTGTTGAATGGGGATCAAGTATTTTCTTTGACAAATTTGACTGAGTGCTCTTGTACTTGGGACTTTGGTACTATTGTAGCAAGTTACTACACTTGTGCCTTCAACAAGGGTGTTTAATTTAGTGAGTAGGCTTCACTGTTCATTTGTACTTACAGACTAATTTTAAAAGCACTTAAAGTGGAGCAATAAATTTATTATCTTTTTGTCCTGCTTATTTTATAGTATTCATCATCGTCTGAATATGAAGATGATACTGATTCAGAGAGTGATGAAAATTATGGGGTAAGTTCTTTTTTCTCTATATATGAATTAAAAATATCATGATTTTGTATGGTGTTAGAGTAAATTTGTTACTTCCATGCATCAAAGGCCTTACAAGAAAGGTATTTGTACATTTGAAGTAAATCAAATGAGGGCCCGAAATAGTAGTCATTTCATTCATGACAGCACCTCCAGAGAATCACAGGTGTTCCATGCAAAAACTAAAATGGAGTCCATCGTGCATTTCCTCTTTTCAAATAAGTCAAATGAAATGTATTTCAATTCATGAGTGAGAAGAATGAAGGGCTACATATGTAGATCTCCACAAGTGGTCCATCACAAATGCTGCACATTGAATATCTACACCAAGGAATAATCAATAACTGTCGAATGAAATGTTTTTTAAAGATTATTACAATAAAATGATAATGCAATAAAGTTAAAATTTAAATTAAATTAGAGACGGGTCACTCTCAATTTCTATTGTGAATTACAAAACTCAAGCACATAATCTAATTTTAACGGCAAGGCACATATTAAATCATTTTTATAGACTTATCTATAAAGTTAGTTTGACAAAAACTCCTTAGTTTTTGTCAAATTAGCCAATCCTGCCCTCTCCGCATTCATATCCTGGGTTCTTTCGGTTAGAGCGAGAGATATTGATCTTTTGGTTAAAACCACAGGTCAAGGGAGCTTTGCGAGAAAGTGTTTCTTCAGTTCTGAGTACAATGGTTGGTTGGCTACTTATCAGCAAACCGATAGAGAAAAACACAACAGATACACAGTTCTGAGAAAAATTTCCTAATAGTCTCCTTTAGATATATTGTCTTATTTTATTTGCACTTTTTGTTCTCGATCTTTTGCTTCTCAACTTATTTTTGCTTAGTGATAATGTTTATGGAATTAGTTCCATTAGTCTCAATGCTTTTTACGGGATCAGTATTTAAAGCAAAGCCATCGATGTCGATGTCGGCTTAAGTCAGCTTTACACAACGAAAGTTTGCTCTAATCATTTAAGCTCAGACCGATATCAGATTATTCAGTTCAGCGGAGCCATTTTTCGTTTTTAACCACCCTATCAGTTAAAGAAATTCTGATTCTGTCCAAATTTATGCTTGAAAACAAAATATATATGTATATGTATATCTTACGAGTTGTGCCGTATTTTGACGAGCCCGTAGAGCTCGTCATAATACGGCAGAACTCGTAAAAATACTCGGCGATACTACACAACAAAACGTCCAAGAAGAGATTTATTATCCTGCGCAGCAGCCTAGAAAGGCGTTTGAATACCTTGAATACCTCACTGAATTACTCCTTCAAACTTTCCTTTTCAGTAGTCCCCAGTAGTATAGTAATTGGGGCTTGGAGGTCACCCATCATGAATTCAATATTGCGCATTATTATCCAACTATAGCTAGACGAGTACAAATATCACGCGGTATTTGTACTTGTCTATTGCAGAGTACCGGTTAAACAGGTTTTCTCGCATCGCGCAAGCAAAGAATTAGATTGTAGTTAGGAAAAAAAAACAAATGGCGGACCATTTGAATCATATTTCCGACGACGAAGAGTCAGAATGGCTGGCAAATATAGATCAAAGTTCATTAGATGAATCGAACGAAGGAAAACACCTTGACGACCAGAAAATTTCTTCTTTTAATGAAGAAAATAGAAACAGCAACACAATAATGCGCCAATTCCGTTCCGCTTCGCATACTTCTGTAACGCACTCCCCGTAAATAAATATCCGCGAAATTCGCCCGCACTGAAATAACAGTTTTGGGTGTTGGATAATAAATAACTTATTAGAGGTTTTGTTGTGTAGTATCGCTGAGTACTTTTACTCGTTATTTGTATTTTGACTCGCTCTACGGGCTCGTCAAAATACGGCAAAGCTCGTTAAAATACTCAGCGATACTACTCAACAAAACTTCTAATAAGATATACATACTCGTATCCCTCAAGAACCGAAGAAGTTTTTCTCTCTTACCATCAAATGCTACAAATGTCCACCCAAACTAGGCCAGTGAATTTGGTATCATATCAAAATCATGTACTATAGGCTATAGATCAGTCAGCTTTCATAACAGGTTTCCCAGATATAATTTTGAAAAAGGGAAGAAAATTAACATGCGAAACATTATTAGAGTGTAATGGGTTAAAGGACTAAGAAGGGGAAGGACAAAGAGAAAGACGATGGCAGTTCCAGGCTGGATGTTCACTTGCTAAAATTTATTTATTGGCGCTAATGTCCTGTACAAGTACATACATTTATCCATTAAGGGTAAATAGCTCTAGTCAAATTCAGCACAAGCAGGCATACCACAAAAACTAGTAGGTTTGGTTAAAACAATGAACTAAGGTACTTGTGATCAACAAGTAAAGAAACAAGAATCAATAAGTAATTAATACTCGCATGTTTTAGAGAAAAATCCATTTTGCACTCACAATGTATTGTAAGGGTCGCTGCAGATGAGCTCGCGTTATCCAAACTGTTATTGGCCTCACATCTGTATATTCCTGCATCCGATTGTTGGACATCTGATATAGTCAATTGGTGGTATCCATTATTGGCAAAGACGCTAAGTCGCACATTTGCAGCCACATTCAAATCCACTCCATTCTTTGTCCAAGCAACATCAGGTGTAGGGTATCCTGCTACTACGCATCTGAACACAGCAGTTTCCCCTTCCACTTTCGTGTTATCAGTTGGGGATTGGGATATTTCAGAGGCAACTAACAATGACAACAATGAAAGGAAAATTTATGATTCTTTACAAAATCAACATAAGGCACAAAGTAAGGTGTAACCAGTTGGTTAGAACGCTGTTGTATCACAAAAGGGTGCAAATAGAACCGGTATACCTTGACGGTTTTAACCGAGGATGAATATTAAATATACAATTGTACGACTTGTATTTTAGCTTTTTTTCAAGCCAAACTTATATTTTTAGTCTATATCAAATTCGTAACACATCGAAAACCATGGGTGAACTCACACTGAACAGTGACTATGGCTTGATTGGAGGTAGCATCTCCAACATCGTTACTTGCCATACACTGGTATGCTCCGTTGTCTTTCCTGCTCACATTCGATATTGTCAGCAGCTCGTTGTCTACCGACAAATAGATCCGTGAATCCTCATTGGGACTTATACCAGATCCATTTTTTGTCCATGATATTGTCAGAGAGCTTCCGGAGGCATTGCAAAATAAGGTCAAGTTCTCTCCTTCCTTGACTGGAATAGCTATTGGGTCCGTCTCCATAGCAGGAGTCGCTGTAAACACGCAAAAAGATTTCTTACAAATGCGAAGCCTTCTTATCTTGCCTTTAGTACCCACAGAGGTCATATATTTTTCCCCAGGTGTTCTCTGGAGCCAGCTATTCAGTTCTATGACTTAGTCTCCCCCTTTTTCCTACCTGCGTAGTTAAGCGCAAGTTGGAGTGGGAGCAAAAGGGAAGTATCCCCAAAAACGCAGGAATTTCACGCAAGATTTGTTTCAGATGGACAATAAACCAACAAATAAGATGTTACCGTTTTATCATTAGTATTTTTGATAAAAGAGCTTCATCAGACATTTTAACTATACACGCGAGATAAGGATATGCCAGAAGGACTCAAAGGTACACGCACAGAAAGTTCTTGCGATGTAAGCCCTACAGTCAAGTTGTGGTCACAAAGGTTGAAAAGACGTGATGGTATACGACAGAAAGGTTCCTTGACCTTCAGATCTAGTTCCTCGTCTCAGTCCTTAACGACCAAAAAAACAAACAAACAAACCAAAAATGCCAAGCCAAAAGAAAAATCCTAAAAATAGCAGACAAAAAAAAAATAAGTAAAGCAAAGCTCGTGGCTAGTGAACTTAAGAGATAAATAAAGCTGAGTAAATGCTTGAGTAAATGACATTTTCCTGTTCATTTATTACGGAACATACCTTGAACAATAATCGATGTTAAATTCGAGGAGCTACCAACATTATTTGTAACATTGCAGGTGTAATTTCCAGAATCTTCCAAGGAAACTGCCTTGATCGACAGCTGCACTTGGCTTTCATTATGATGTGAAATATTCACACGTGACTCATTCGAGGGCACAGTGAGGGTTGATACAATCACAATCCCATCTTTTAACCACTGCACCTCAGACACGGGAGGCAAAGCGTTGAACCGGCATGTCAGCTGTAAGTCAGTACCGTTGGCTTCGTACTGTATTTTATCTCCATCAATTGTCACCTCTGGTAGAACTGCAATTTAATAAAACGTTGTAAAACAAATCTTTCTATTACAGTTAGGGGTAATTAAACTGCTGAACTGTCTAAAATTGATGACTGGCTTTCTTTTAATAGTCTGTTTGTAAATGTAACAAAAACTGAAGCTATGCTTTTCGGAACCGCCCCTAGATTATCTGCTGTTAACTCCTTTTCTATTATTTTAAATAACAATGTAATTAAGCGGGTTTTTCATTTTACTTATCTAGGTATAGTTTTTGATGACCGCCTTAGCTGGAATGAGCAAATAAAGCACCTAATTTCGAAGGCGGGAAAACGCATAGGAATGCTCGGCAGGCTTCGTAGAAGCCTTACTAGAGAGAGTGCAAATGTAGTGTATTGTAGTCTAATTAGGCCAATTTTAGAATACTGTGTATGTGTGTGGGGCTGTTGCGGGGAAGGTCGCAAACAAGACCTTGAAGCCCTCCAAAACCGGGCTGCTAGGATAGTGGCTAGAACTGTGCGCAGCAAGCAGGCAATGGACGTTCTGAAATGGCCCACGTTGGAGGAGCGCCGACGTAAATCTGTCTTTAAACTCGTTAAGAAATGCCTGCAAGGTCAATGTCCCCAGTATTTTAAACAATATTTTAAACGTAATAATACAATCCATGCGCGTGCTACTAGACAAAGCAACCTCTTACATCCGCCTGCTGTGAGAACTGAGATTGCAAAAAGATCCTTCTATTATTATGGTTGCACTCTTTTTAACGAATTATCTTAATGATATTTCGTGTTATACATCTTTTAATCTTTTACTTGTAAATAGTTCTCTATTTATATTATTTCCTGTTTTAGTGTAATGTTTTAATGTTGTTGCTCAGGGCTCCCATTGATAACAGACAGCGTTTTGCGTCTGAAGGGGCTACCCTGAGCCTTATAAATTAATAAAGGTTTTCACTTCACAATTACAGAATAAAGGGTAAATTTGGTGACGAGATAAACACATTTTTCCTTCAATGTGCAGCATATATCTTAACGCACTTAGGCACCGAATTGCATCCCAAACTCCGGTGTTAATTCCTGTTGGTTTAGTTAAGAATCCTCACCAAAATACTACCAAGGGTTGATGGGTTTTGCAAAAACTTAATTTTTTTTTTTTTTGTGGTTTACAAAGAAAAACTACAGTGAAACCGGTCTTCAAGAGTCGAATGTTTCGAATATAAACTTCATTTACACTCACATTGCACTGTAAGAGTCGCTGGAGATGAAGTGGAGTTACCCAATACGTTATTGCCGACACATCTATACTTTCCAGTATCCAACTGTTGCACATTTGTTACTGTCAGACTGTGATTTACATCCTTGGAAGAGACAGTAAATCGGGAATTTGCTGCTATATTCAATTGGACGTTATTCTTTGTCCAAGCAACAACAGGTGTAGGGTAACCTGCTACCAAACAACTAAACACAGCAGTTTGTCCTTCCACTTTCGTGGTGTCAATTGGAGCTTGAGATATTTCAGGCCTAACTGGTATAAAAAAAGAAAAAATTAAAAAGTAACTGCTAGTTTGAAGTCAGTTGTCTTTCCATAGCCATGCAGCAGTTCTTGAAGTTAATGGGAGTTTCTAGGTTGTTTCTTGGATGTAACAAGAAAAACTTTCTGACGAAAGGGCTAACACTCGAAACGTCAGCTTTGAAGCTCTTTCCGGTGGCAAAATTACATTATCAACTCAGTTGATAAAATCCAAATTACCTTGTTATTCATACCGACGCAGCACCACAGTTTCTTTAGAGACTTGCCCCCTTCAGTTATGAACAGAAATCGGTTGTAACAAATAAAACTCGCATCCATAGCCCTAAAATGCCTGTATAGAGCCATAACCGCTGGGAAAATGAGCATCGTGCTAAGTGCGAGTCAGCAATTCTCATAACCATCAGCTTCCATCTCGAATTGATAGAACCCTGCTGTGTCTCAAGAGAAGGACGATAAAACTGATGTTTCAAAAATCTTGATAACCTGATAGGGCTGAATATAATCGATTTTTCATGTTACTAATGCTTATGCCCGACATATATTTTCAGTAATTTACAATTCGTAACTACTTGTAAACCATAACTCACACTGAACAGTCACCATAGCGGCATCAGAGGTAGCATTTCCAACATTGTTGCTCACCACACACCGGTAAGCTCCTTTGTCCATTCTGCTCACATTTGTTACCGTCAGCTGCTCGTTGTCTGCCGACAAACGGATCCTCGTGTCCTCACTGGGATTTATACCAGATCCATTTCTTGTCCATGATATCGTCAAAGAGCTTCCAGAAGCGTTGCAAAACAGGTTCAAGTTTCCTCCTTCGTTGACCAGAACAGCTTGTGGGTTCGTCTCGATAGTAGACGTAACTGTAGAAACGGGCAGACATTTATAATAAATGTGATGACCGTCAATTTTTTTTTCTCGGCAGCTAAACGATAAGAAAGTTTCTTCCCATGGTGCTCTCTGGAGCTGGTTAGGACTTAAGTCTTAGGACTTGATTCCCACCCTTATCCCTACCTCCTTAATTATGGGCAATTTGAAGTCGAAGCAAAATGAGGATATCGCCCAAAATACAGGAGTACAGCCCACAATTGGATTTAGGTGGAGAACAAACCAATAGCGAAGATGTCACTGTTTTAACATCAGAGCAACGTTTTACACCACTGTCATCCAAAATATCAATAATCGCTTTAGATTAAAGTATGCCAGAAGGACTTAGGGGAACACGCACATAACGGTCTTATGACTTTCGATGTTTGCCATTTAGATTAAGGTCACGAGGAATAAGATTGGAATATATTATTTTACACGATTCAAAGGTTCCTTGACCATCTTATATAACTCTTCGTCTCGGTCCTCAACGACCAAAAAACAAACAAGCAAAAACTACCAGAGCAAAAACAAGATCCTTCCGACAGCAAAATTTACAAAAGCAAAAGGAACCGCGTGGATAGTTAATTTTAGATATCAAACGAGATGATAAGACCAAGTAATTCCTTTGGGAAAGTTTATGTTCGTGCCCACCAAAATATAATGGAACATACCTTGAACAGTAATCGATGTCCAATTCGAGGAGCTACCAACATTATTTGTAACATTGCAGGTGTAATTTCCAGAATCTTCCAAGGAAACTGCCTTGATCGACAGCTGAGCTTGGCTTTCATTATGATGTGAAATATAAACACGTGACTCATTCGAGGACGCAGTGAGGGTTGATACAATCACAATCCCATCTTTTAACCATTGCACCTCAGACACGGGCGGTAAAGCATTGAACCGGCATGTCAGCTGTAAATCAGTGCCGTTGGCTACGTACTGTATTTGATCTCCATCAGTTGTCAACTCTGGCGCAACTATATTTCAATTAAATGTTCTAAAACTAATTTTGCATAATACTTCATCGTTACATTTAAGGTTCAATCAAGAAAACAGAAAAGCCTTAACTGTGTTCTGTTCTGTTGTAAAAGCACGCTGGAACAGTTCTTTTACAGTAGAGCACGAAGGAAGATTGCAAAAATACCCAGAGGACGGGACCGTAAGAGTTAAAGCAAAGAGAATTAACTAACAAAAACTAAAACAACAAGATAATCATCTTTATGTGAAAGGTTTTTCTTGTAGTAAATAATCAAATTACAGAAAAAATGAAAGACAACTTTGGCAACTTTTTACAAAAGCAGCTTAGGATTGGATCAGAATAACATTTAACAGACCAATACATATATCTTATTAGAAGTTTTGTTACGCTGTGCAGTATCGCTGAGTATTTTTACGAGTTGTGCCGTATTTTGACGAGCCCGTAGGGCCAAAATACAAATAACGAGTAAAAATACTCAGCGATACTACACAACAAAACGTCTAATAAGAGATTTATTATCCAACACGCCAAATTTTTTATTTCAGTGCAGGCGAATTTCGCGGATATTTCTGGAGTACAAATATCGCGTGATATTTGCATTCGTCCCGCGCGTTATTTGTACTCTACGAGACACAGTTGAATAATAATGTACATTAAATATTCGGTTCTGGAACGAGTAATTCCATCTTCGATGGAATTTTTACAAAATTTATGTGGAAACTCGAAACATGTCAATGAAGATTGTGTTTTGCTGTGTTTTATTTGTTTGTTAGTTTGTTTTTTGCACAGGGTGCGACCCCAATTATGTGAAAACTTTTGTTGTTGTTCAGTTCTCCGCATGAAAAATTTGTGTTTAAAAAAATTCTTATTTATACTTGACATTACTTGAAGATTTCAATAATGGTTCCCAGCGTTGTTGCCTCCAACTTATCGGAACCCTCTGCTTCTACCCTTCCAACATTCATTTTTGCCAGATGCTTTATAAATCCTATCAACTGTGGGTAGAAATTCTCCTTCCAGATTTAGCAAAAATTTAATTGAGCACTTACACAGTACGTCGACTTTTGCAGCATTTGAGGCAATATGTCCAAGGCTGTTACTGGCAACACATCGGTAATCCCCGCTGTCTAATCTGTTCCCATTCGCTATAGACAGTGTCTTGTTGTCTCCAGAGAAAGTTATCCTTAAGTTGTCAGCAACTGAAGATCCATCTTTGGTCCATGACAGTGTTGGCGGGGGATTTCCAGTAGCGTTACAAACTAATTTCATGGGAAGTCCTTCTTCCACAGTAACATCGTTAGGATGCGTAATAATTTCAGGTTGATCTGTAAAAAAAGTCCAAAAAATGAATAGATGAATAAACCCCGAAGCGATCGATTGATAGTAATTATGCGACAACATCTTTTTCTCATTATACTTATTATTATTTCTAGTTTTGGGACAAATATATCGCTAAACCTTCCGTAAAGCAAGGTAATTTCATAGAATGTCTGAAACAACCTACCATCTCGTTCTGTCACAAAAATTTATTCGTTCACATTTTCCTGACAAAAAATCAGGAAAAAAATTGATACAAGCCGTCTGGAGATAGTTTTTATAATAAAGGAATTTTATAAGCTACTTACACTGCACCGTTAAAGTCCCTGGAAATGACGCCAAGTTTCCAACATTATAAAAAACCATACATCTGTATAATCCCGAATCCGATCGGTAAACATTTGTGATTGTTAATCACATTACAACAGGAGATTAAATTTCGTTTATTTGGTAAGGCCTTAAATGCTTGTTTACTCTTTAATGGTATGCGAGAGGATACTTGTGCTGACTTTCGTACTGTAATTGATAAATTTAAAAAAGTATAACTTCTACAATTTCATTTGTCGTCGTTGTTATTGTTGCTGTTATTTTTTTTTTCCGCGTAATTTCATTCCAGTTGTAATAAGTAGTTCCTGGTTGGTTTATCCATAACAATCGTACTGTTTCTCTTTGTTCATGTATATGCGTGCTCTCCCAGTCGTTTCCTCAGCTCTGTTCAGTCAAAACTTGATGTTAAAGAATTTATTTTAATGTTTGTTTCCCTTCCGCCTCGATTAGCTTCGCTATTTTTCGGGTAGGGATTGATAGATATATATATTTTAATTGTTAAAATAGATAAATTTGGTTTGTTTCTGTTTTTGTTTGTTTGTTTTTTTTTTTTGCTTTGTTTCGTGGCTTATTTGTAAAAAATGATACATAGGTTATTGACTTTCCATCCGATAGAATTTGGAGAACCGTTTGGACCTAAGATTCAGAACATGTAAAGCAGCTCGGAAATTTTTAGATCGCGCAAATCCATTTATTTCTATAGTTCCACGACATTTTCTTCGACTCGAAAATTGTTCCATAACTCGCTGTTAGCGGTAAGAGAAGAGTATTCTCTCTTGGTCACAGATAAAATGTCATTTTTCTGAAATTTGGTTTGGCTCGATCAGTACGATTTCAAAACTTAAAATAGCATTTATGCTATACTTACATAACACGTTTACTACAGAGGGTTCAGAAGTGTCATTTCCAACCCTGTTTTTCACAGCACATCTGTACTCTCCACTGTCTCCTCTTTCCACATTCGTTATTGTCAACTCTTGAGAGTCACTGGATAAACTGATCCTTGAACTCTCATTTTCTTGTAAGGCAGATCCATCAAACGACCAGGACATAAAAAGTGTGGGGCTTCCAGTAGCGTTACAATGCAAAGTGACATTGCTTCCTTCTTTTGGAGAAACACTTTGTGGTTGAGAAACAATCAAGGGCTTTACTGTGTAAGGAAAAACAGAAAAAAAAAATTAGTCTGAAAGGTCTCCATCATTTCTACAATGTTCCAGATTTCCACTGGATTATTCGTTGACGTAATTGCACAGAGGCCTTAAAGGAAAGTTACTGGGTGCTTAAGGAATTTACAGTCTTAAAAAGACTTAAGTTCTCTCTTCCCATTAAACCTAGATGAAGATGTTTGTGTTTTCGACACCTTAAATGTGTAGGTACTTAAGGCCTATTTAAACGGCTTCAACATTTGAGCGACATTTGTTCAACAAAAGTTGAGCGGATGTTGGGCACATGTTGGAAGCAAAAGCAAAGTTGTGCGGGGGCCGTTCAAACGGTTTTCAACATTGCGCCAACAAACGAACCAATATTTTGGGAAATTTAATTTTGAGGAACTAAGAACTAGAAACCAGACTCTCTCCAGACGCCATTTTGACTTTTGCACCCTGAAATGAGCATGCGTGTGTTTAATTGTTTCATGACAGAGTGTTCAAACGGCTTCAACGCCATTCAACATTTTCGAGAAGAAAAGAAAAGCTGAATCGATGTTCAATGAAAGTTTAAACCGATTTAACTTGATTCAACACGCTTTCAACAAGCTTTCAACATTCTTTTCGTTTTCAACAATGTTGGACGACCTGTTTAAACTCACCGAACATTTGTTTCAACAGAGTGTTGAATGCATGTTGAAGCAAATGTTGAAACCGTTTAAACGGGCGTTTAGAGGTCTAATAAAAAACGATTACGATGACCTTGCGCCAAAACACAGAGAGTCAATTTAAACGGCAAATATCTGATGATATTTGATGCAGTCTCTTTTTATCTTCTAAATATGCACTTTACAAAACGCCCTTGAGCCTCACATGAGACAACGCTCTCGGGAGATTTTTGTTTTCTTTCTCTTCCATCGGATATCTTCAATTTTCTTAAGTCTCCAAAGAGTGATTACAGCTTACTACTGCCCTACCGTAAAAAAGGTAAAAAGAGAATTTGTCAACAACTCTTACACACCTTCAATAATTATCGATTTGGAGTCCGACGTACTATTAACGTCATTTGTGACATTGCAGGTATAATTTCCACTATCCGCTAAGATGGATGTATTGATTAACAGCTCTATGAGGGTTTCATTGAAGTGCGGAATACTCAGGCGGGAGTTATTGATCACTATTGTAGAATTTGTCGAAATCACCGTTCCATCTTTTATCCACTGCAGCTCAGAGGCAGGAGGTATGGCCTTATGTCGACACGTTATCTTGATATCGTCGCCCTTAGCCACAATTTGCTCTTTATCACCATCAATTGTAACTCCTGGATCAACTAAAATTTGATAAAACGATTATATTTGTATCAGCAGCATCATCATCATCATGGGCTGTAAATTTTTTATTACTTCAGTTTTTAAATAACTGGCGATCCTTGCAATCTGATTGGTGCGATTCATTCTTGAATAGTACGAAAGAGCTGAATAACGTATACGCATGCGCTAGGTTTTGCCGCGGAAACACGGATTTTAAGTCGTTCGCATGGTTGATTTCCTATTCTGTTGCTTCGAGGCGTCGTTTTCTTTGCCGCTTTTCTTTTACAGAACAAACTCCAAAAACTTGTTACACCCCCCTAAAAATTTAAAAAAATTAGTTTCTCCTTAAAACCTCTGGAAAAAGGAAAATGCCCTCGACGAAAACAGAATACCTCGGTTTTAAAAGTTAGCCCTTATTATTTTCCCCTAATTTCGCTGAATTTTAGACCAAGGACACTTGAGCCCGCGTTATTGACCGCATATCCCCTGACGTAGCAATCATTATTCAGCTCTGTCGTATCATACCATTTTTGCTCTAACTCGCACCTTTTTCCCTACTAATGAGAAATCTTTACAAAACTCAACAACCAGTCAGAATTAAATGTTTGATTGTCGTAAAAAAACAAAAATCAAACTGCGGTCAAATTAATGGAAATGTTTGCAACTTTTTTGAAACCAGCTCAGTGCTAAGTCAATAAAATACTTTTAACAGACTAAAAAATCCTGTAGTGCGATTTCAATATCGATGTAGCAAAGGGGTGATTAAACTTCGAGTCGTGCAATTCTGGTAGGAAATCATACTTGTGATTTCAAATCCAACCCGCGTTGTGCGCTCATTCACTTTTAAAATGACGCATATGATTATCCGACCAAATTACACTCCACACTGTTCAATTAATATTTTTTTATCGGCTTTCCTCCGTTCACTGTATAGTTGATATTATTAATTTCCATGCAGATTGGTTTCATATCAAAATCATGGACTACGCTGAGTTTGCAAATTCTTAAAATAAGTTTGCTAGATAGATGGCTGAAATTGTAGAGATAGTTTACATACAGATTAATAGGTTTATGAAAGAACAAGAATTGGAGCGGTGGAGAGAGAAAGATGGCACTTATAGGGTAAAATTTCAATGGATAAAATTGATGTCTTGGCGCCCATGTCCTTTATACATTCATCCATACTTCATAACATTTTTAATTAAGCTGCTAACTACTTAAAGTCAAATCCAGAGGAAATTCGCATACCACAAAAACTCGTAGGGTTTGGAAAAAAGAAGGATCTAAGGAACAAAAAGTGACAAAAAAAAGAAAAACCTAAATAAATCAATATTCATATTAACACTCGCATGTTTCAGAGACAAGCTACTTTCAGACTCACAATGTACTGTAAGTGTCGCTGGAAATGAAGTCGTGTTATCCAAACTGTTAGTAGCCTCACATCTGTATACTCCTGCATCTGATTGTTGAATTTTTGATATGGTCAACCGGTGATTTCCATCAATGGAAGAGAAATCAAGTCGCGCATTTGCTGACGCATTCAATTTCACCTCATTCTTTGTCCAAGCAACATCAGGCTCAGGGTATCCTGCCACTACGCAACTGAACACAACAGTTTTTCCTTCCACTTTCACGGCATTACTTGGAGATTGAGAGATTTCAGGGGCAACTAGCAATATAAAGAGTAAAAAAAAAAAATTATCAGTCTCTACAAAACCAAACATGATTTCCAAAATGTTGTGCGACCAGTTGGTGAGAGCTCTGCTCAATTGCAAAAGAGTACAAACGAAACAGACTTTCCCAAAAATTTTATAATAAAAGTCAAATATACAATGTTTCATATCTTAGTCGTTTCTTACGCCGATCAGATATTTCATATTCATTAACAATTCGTAACGCATCGTAAACCAAAGGTGAACTCACATTGAACAGTGACTATGGCGGCGTGGGAGGTAGCATTATCAATCTGGTTGCTCGCCACACACTGGTATGCTCCGTTGTCTTTCCTGCTCACATTCGTTATTGTCAGCTGCTCGTTGTCTGTCGACAAATGTATCCTCGAGTCGTCCCTGGGATCTATAACAGATCCATTTTTCGTCCATGATAATATCAGAGAGCTTCCAGAAGCGTTGCAAAACAGAGTAAAGTTCTCTCCTTCCTTTACTGGAACAGCTATTGGGTCCTTTTCGATGGTGGGCGTAACTGCAGAAACGGACAGAGGGTTGTTATGAATGTAAAATCTGTCTATCATTACTTTTTTTTTATCTTGGCAGCTAAAATGGTTAAATCTTTTTTTTTTTTCCAAGGTGTTTTCAGGAGCTGGTTATTCAGTCTTAGGACTTATTCCCACCCTTATCCTTACCTGTTTCATTAAATGTAAGTTGAAGCCGAAGCAAAACGGAGATATCCCCAGAACACAGGAGTGTAAAGCACACTTAAATTTTTCTGGAGAACAAACCGATACTGGGGTAAAAAATCTTTCCAAAAGAAAAAAACTAGCAAAAGCAAAGGAAACCTCGCGGATAGTTAATTTTAGAAATGGATGACATGATGAGACCTTCTCCTTCTAGAAATTTCATGTTCGTGTCCATTTTAATACCATACCTTGAACGATAATCGATGTTCTATTCGAGGAGCTACCAACAACATTTGAAACATTGCATGTGTAATTTCCAGAATCTTTTAAGGAAACTGCCTTGATTGACAGCTGAGCTTGGCTTTCATTATGATGTGAAATATTCACTCGTGACCCATTCGGGGGCGCAGTGAGGGTTGATGCAATCACAGTCTCGTCTTTTATCCACTGCACCTCAGACGCGGGAGGCAAAGCGTTAAAGCGGCATGTCAGCTGTAAATGTGTGCCATTTGCGACAAACTGAACCTGATCTCCATCAATTGCCACCTCTGGCGAAACTGCAATTTATAAAGTGTTATAAAGCAACTTTTCTTAGTTAAAGTGAGAGTCAATATAGAATAACCGCAATTTGCCTACGTCCCTTATATCAAGAACTTCAAACTGAGGAAAAGGAGCCAAATGGTAAATTTGACGATTCAATTAATTCAAAATCCTCGGCAAAGTACCACCAAAGGTTGACAGGCTTTGCAAGAACCTATATCTACATTTTTGTTGGTGGTCAACAACGAACTGAAACCACAATGAAACTTTTATTACTCGGATGTTTCGAAAAAAACTAAATTTACACTCACATTGCACAGTAAGAGTGGCTGGAGATGAAGTGGAGTTACCCAATATGTTATTGCCGACACATCTGTATTTTCCAGCATCCAACTGTTGAACATTTTTTACTGTCAAACTGTGACTTCCACCCTTGTAAGAGACATTTAATCGTGAATTTGCTGCTATATTCAATTCAACGTCATTCTTTGTCCAAGTAACATTAGGTGTGGGGTAGCCTGCTACCAAACAACTGAACACAGCAGTCTGTCCTTCCACTTTTAAGGTGTTACTTGGAGCTTGGGATATTTCAGGCTTAACTGGTAAGAAAAAGTAAAGCAATGAAAAATAAGAATTTGAATTCACTGCAATTTCAAACGTATTTCACAAAATATTGCATCACTTGTCACTTGCCTTTCCATAACCATACAGTTTTGATTGGACTAAAAGATAAGTGACCAAGACATAATCAACCTTCTCCTTCAAAACTCAAAACATCAAAGCCTACATAAATACGTTTCAGATCATCGAAACTGGAAATTAAATTATCCCAACGTAACAAAACTGAACAGCAAATAGTTTTCAAGTTAACTTGTCGCTAGTGGTTACTTTGTTCCGGTGGAATAACAATCGTTGTCATTTTTTCAGCTCAAGATGGCAGTTATAAAGACACTGAATGAAAAAATTGAACTCTCATCCATAACCCTGAAATGCCCGTACAGCGTCCTATCCGCTGGGAAAACGAGCATCGTGCAAACTGTGGGTCAGCAATCCTCATAACGACCAGCTCACAAGAGAAGGACAATAAAAGTGATCTTCCAAAAATGTTAATCACCTAAGAGCGTTAAATATACTCGATTTTCAATTTCTTTATTGTTCACGTCAGATATGCATTTTCTGTAATTTAAGATTTGAGATTACTTGTAACCATAACTGCACTCACATCGAACAGTCACCGTGGCGGCATCGGAGGTAGCTTTTCCAACATTGTTGCTCGCCACACACTGGTAGGCTCCGTTGTCTGTTCTGCTCACATTCGTTATAGTCAGCTGCTCGTTGTCTTCTGACAGACGGATCCTCGTGTGCTCACTGGGATTTATAGCACATCCTTTTTTTGTCCAAGATATCGGCAAAGAGCGTCCAGATGCGTTGCAAAATAAGGTCAAGTTTCCTCCCTCGTTGACTGGATCAGCTTGTGCGTTCGTCTCGATTGAAGGCTTTACTGTAATAGTGCAGAAACGTCATTTATAGATGTAAAGCTTTTTTATGGATTCTATCGTGGCTCAGCATGTTTCAATTTTTACCTTGCTTTAAGGCACCTTCTCAAGCCGATTATTCACTTTTATGACTTAATGCTCACCCTTACCAAAAGTTGGGGTTTACGTTTACACGTGCGATCTAGATTATGTATCTCCTGGAATGGAAAATCTCCTGTTAAAAAAGAAAATGACTTTCCTTTTAACGGGATATTTCTAAAAAGGTGTTGAAATAACTTTTTTGACTTAGGTATGTGTGTATGTGTGTGTGTGTGTGTGTGTGTGTGTGTGTGTGTGTGTGTGTGAGTGTGTGTATGTGTGTTTTTCTTTTAACATTTTTTAAAAACATCACTTGGTCAAACATGTTACCGACACAGGTAAAAAGTAGGTATGCCATAAGATCTCAGAGGAACACAAACAGAACGGTCCTTCAATGTACGTTATTTGTGGCCACAAGCTTTATCAAAGATCTTCTCTTGAATCATACAATAGTTCGTTTCCCTACACGTGGAATTATTTTTCTTACCATTTGCGCCCAAGAAAAAACACAGAAAACACATATTCAAGTCCCTCAACATCGCTACATACCTTGAATGACAATCGAAGTCCTATTCGAGGAGCTTCCATCATTATTTGAAACATTGCAGGTTTAATTTCCAGAATCTTGCAAGGAAACTGCGGTGATCAACAGCTGAGCTTGGCTTTCATTATGATGTGAAATATCTACTCGTGACCCATTGGAAGACGCAGTGAGGGTTGAAGCAATCACATTCCCATCTTTTACCCACTGTACCTCTGACACGGGAGGCAAGGCATTAAAGCGGCATGTCAGCTGTAAATCAGTGCCATTGGTTACATACTGTATTTGATCTCCATCTATTGTCACCTCTGGCGCAACTAAAATTAAATGAAATGTTCTAAAAAATGTTTTTTCCTTCACAATATATTGTTAAACTTATAGTTCAAAATGGAACAATAGCACCTTTCCCACGCCCCTTATATCATGAACTTCAATCAACGAAGTGAGAAGGAGGAAAAGGAAAGTTTGGGGTAAATTTGAGGTTGGAAAAAAATACACATTTCTTTCAATGCTCGACATATATCTTTATCCACGTAGGCACTCAATCGCATCACAAACTCAGGTGTCAACTCATTTTGGTTAAATTAGAAGTCCTTACCAAAATACCACTAAAGTTTCCAGACTTTGCTAGCAACAACAAAACACAATTAAACATAAAGTACTCAGATTTTTCGGAGATAAACTACTTTTAAACTCACATTGCACGGTAAGCGATGCAGGAGTTGAGGTGGAGTTACCCAAACTGTTACTGGCGACACATCTATATTTTCCAACATCCAACTGTTGAACATCTGTTAATGTCAAACTGCCATCCTTGTGAGAGATATTTAATCGTGTATTGGCTTCTATATTCAATTCAACGCCATTCAATGTCCAAGCAACATTAGGTGTTGCTGTCCTTCCACTTTCGTGGTATTACTTGGAGCTTGGGATATTTCAGGCTTAACTGGTAAAAAAACAAATAAAATAAAGAAATGATAAATGGGAATTTAAAGTCACGGCAATTTCAAGCGTATTTCACAAAATATTGCACCACTTGTTACTTGCCCATCCACAACCATGCAGCTATGATTTGAGTAAAAGACAAGTGACCAGTACATAATTAATCTTCCCCTTCAACACTCACAACATGAAAGCCTATATAAACACTCATTAGCAAATACGACAAATAGTTTTCAAGTTATTTTCTCGCTAGAGATTGCTTTGTTCTGATAGAATAACAATCGTTGCCATTTTTTCAGCTCAAGATGGCAGTTGCAAATGTATTGACTGAATAAAGATTAGTCGTAAAAATTTGCACTCGCATCCATAACGCTAAAATGCCTCTACAGCGTCATATCTGCTGGGAAAATGAGTATCGTGCAAACCGTGTATGAGAAATCCTCATAAACATCAGCTCCTTTTTCGATTTAAAACAATAATGCCGTGTCACAAGAGAAGCACAATAAAACTGATCTTTCAAAAGTGTTAATCACCTAAGAGCGTTAGATCTACTCGATTTCTTTTTTCATTATTGCCCATGTCAGACATACATTTTCAGTAATTTACGATTTGTAATTTCTTGTCAACCATAACTGTACTCACATCGAACAGTCACC